ATCGTGTACATAATCAGCAAGTGTGTGTGCAGAAGTGGATGTGTTGATACATGAGCAAAATCAGATTTACATTTCTGGCTTCACTTTAGGCCAGAACTGAAACTCATTCAGGACAATAGGATTCTTTCCTTTGGCTTCAATGGGCTTTGGATAACACACTTTGGGAAGATCAGACCTTCATTTCTAAGCAAATAATGGTTTCCAGTGTGGAAGTACTTGTTACAAGATCTGAATTTCTCCATGATCTTAGGTATTTTTTTCTTAGGAGGAACTTACTTAGCCAGTATTTGATATTTCTCTTTGAGAAGAAATTTTATTACTAAAGCCTATTATTGTATCCTATAGCTTTAATACTTAATAAATCAATCAAGCAATCTCGGGATATTCGTGCTGTAATAAATAGTCTACACATATAATAGATTTGCTTCTCCATTCTTTACACAGTCAAAATACCTGGTAAATGTATGGGAGTTTTGCATGTGCAAAGGGTGGAGGATCTTATACGGGTAAGACAACTTAGGAAAATTGTCAATTGTAAAATGTAATGCTAAGTAAATTGTATCCACATTGTTAATATCACAGAATATTCACTTACAGCAACATGCTGATCCTGATCTGATATGTTTAGAATTAATTATGATAGTGTATTCATTTTAATAGGCAGCATTACAAAAAATTACCTTTAGCTGAGAGCTATAATATACTAAGATAAACTTGATTGTGAATTAAGGTTTAAAATAGACTGACCATTCTAGTTGATTTATATAAATGTGCAGAGTGTGATTCTGAGAGAGTAAGGACCTGATTTTCCATTGTGCTGTGTTTGTGCAGTCAGTTATACCAATGCAAACTGGGTGTAACATGCTACTTAATCAGAATGGTAACATTTCCCATTAACTTTCCATAAGCATAAATGGCTTCACAAGAGCAGGGCAAAGAAGACTCAGGCCCAAGTATATATTATTAAACACTATTAAGAATACATGCAACCACTAGTTTGCCTGCAATGCCAAGGTACTTCATACAAGACGGCAATCTCTAGGACCGAATTCTTTCACTTACACTGGTGTAAGTGCAGGAATTCAGCTATGAAGATACTGACTACTTCAGAGATTGCTTCTTTTGTTTTAATTAAGAAGCATGATGTTGTTACTTATTTCAAAGTTGTTTAATTTTATGCATGTTTATGAATTTTAGTTAAAGAATTCGAGTAATATCAAATCTAAGACAAATTTTTGCAATTGGACCAAGGACCCGCATGCTTATGGTGGCACATCCCCTGAAAAATGTCATTAAACAGCTGATCTATCAGTAAAAATTGCAGGTTTGCTCTGGGATTGAAAAGTTGGCGTTCTCAGGGTCAGATCCTACAAGATGCTAACAGCCTTTAACTGCCATCGAAGTCTACAGGAATTGATGGTGCTCAGCACGTCACATAAAGTGCTCAGTACTTCACAAGATCAAGCTTACAATTGTTGACCTTACTTGTTATAAAAAGTTTTCTATTATTATCACAATAAGCCTCTTTATCTTTGCATTATTGTAATTACAACATAACTTACCTGTTACAATGAGCTTGGTACCAGAGCCAAATACTTTGATGAGAACACCACTAGTAGTAAGTATCACAGTGAGCAAATCCTTTGCAAAAATCTAGCGCGGGTATCTTTTTGTTAATGAACCAGTAGTTGTTGCTTTAAAAGAAATCTGATTTGCTATTTAAATTGCTTTCAGATATTACAATAAAATAGTAAATAAGGAGAGTACACGTAAAATAATGTGAAAACTGTGGGGGAGATTTTCAAAGGCACAAAAGGCATTATGGTGTCTAACTATCATTGAGCTTCAATGGGCATTGGGCACATAAATGCAATGATAAAATGGGTTAGATTAAGGGTGTTGAATATTTTGTGAAAAAGAACAAATAACATTGTAATTTTTGGTACACAGGCTGAGGTTATAAAATTAAGCCTGTACACTGCCATCATTACATAATGGATCTCCCAATGATAACAATAGATAGAGGGTAGACGATAGCCTTTAAAATGGGTATATTAATGGTGAAAATTCTGGCTAATTCCTGTCATTTGGTGTAATCAGGAATATGACCAACAGAAAACATTTGCTCTTTAGCAATATTTGTGCAACACAGAGATTAGGCACCCAGCAAGGATGATTTAGCAGGATCTAGAGGGAAGAATATGCTTAAAGACACAGAATACTCTGAACCTCCTTAAATCTAAACATGACTAAAACATTTGAACAATTGAAAATGTCTTTTAAAATATCTTTCTATCTCTATCACGTACCTGGTCTTTATGTAACAGATAAGCAAACCTCTTTATTCCCCATTACTGGATCGAATCAAGAAGATTTTACTGCATTTTTGCCTTAAAGTTAAACACATGCTCAAATTCTTCTCTGAATAGGAATAGAAACATGCTTAAGTGCCTTACTGAACTGGAGTCTTTATTAGGAAAAAACCACAATTGCATAAATTTATTGTTACTATAAATGCACCCCTTAATGCTATCTAAGGGCCACATCCTGCAAGTGCTGAGCATCCTCAACTCCCATTTAAATGAATGAGCATTGAGGTAGCTCAACACCTCATAGGACTGGGTGCTAAATATAGTTTATTGTATAAAAAACATAAATTCTACCTTTCACATTTACTGCTAACAATGGGCTTAGTTCCACTTCTGAATAGTTTTGCATGATCTCACAGTCTTACAGTGCTAAACAAGATCTCCAAACACTTTACATTGTTCTCAGTGAAGTGTTTCTGGTTCTTTCTGATTTAGAGAGACTAGTATGGGTGAAATCCTGACCCCAATGAAGTCAATTGGAGTTTTACCTTTGACTTCAGTGGAATCAGGATTTCACCCAGTATATTTATGAATAGCTTGATTTTGTCCTGGATAACAAGCATAGTAAATGCCCAGGGTAAATGTATGCTTTGAAAACATTTTGAGAAACTTACTTGAAACCACCAGTTTGGTGCCGGAGACAAAATACTTTATTCCATCATTGAAATCTTCTACAAAAACTAATGAATCGTCAAGGTATGAATTTCCCTGAATTCAAATTCTGAAGTTATATTTTAAATACAAAGTCAACAATCTAAACAAGACTTGCTATAGGCCAGGATGTTATGTGAGTATTAAACTGAGTTTATGCACTTTGTGAATTCCTGTGCCTTTTTCTACCAAAAATGTTTTCTGCTCCTTGACATACATCACTCTCCATTTCTCTCCTTCTTGATTCTTAGCAGCTATTCAGTAAATATTCCAGCCTTTTACTCTTGTATTCACTTTACTCATTAGGACCAATTACTCCCCTCAGTGAATCCATTGGTGTCCTTGGGACTTCCAGTTCAGATCAAGAGCAATACATGGCTTTTGTCTAAATTTCATTTATTCGGTACAATTTTTTTTGTCCTTTGTTTTTCTTTTGCTAAAAAGAATCAGTCAAAAATAAAAATACTTACCAGAAACAACTAGCTTAGTTCCTGTGCCAAAGAACTTGATCCTGCTTGAGGTATCACATTGACTTTTCGTTTTACAATAAGCTGTGGTACTTTACTTATGCTGCTGTGTCTTTGCTAACCAGTAGCTGGGAAGAAACTTCTAATGAAGTATTCCTAGTTTCTTGATTGCTTGGAGAATTTAATTAATTTCACCTTTTTGTGACATCATAAAGCTGATACATAAATTCTCTTCACAGTGATTCTATTTGCATGTTCTTGCAAATGGATCCTCATTGCTTAAATGAATCCTCATTCTTTAAAATGGAAATTAGATGACATCTTCTATTTGATAATGGTTTTAATAGACCCTTGGATCAGGCGGTTCTCAAACATTTTCATTGTGTGGTCCATATATTAAAAAAGAGATTGTGTCATAGACTACAGTGTCCCATTCACAATAACATTGACCATCTCCTCAGTCTATCATAATACCAGGAAGAGTCAAGCATATATTTCATTTCACCAGCATGTTGGCTTCTGCAACCTAATTTTACTTTCACGTCCTTCCTGTTTTGGGGTGAATATTGTCAAGACCTTGGGTAGGTCTACACTATCGCTTAAGTCGATCTAACTTACGTCGTTGGGGTGTGAAAAAGTCATCCCCCTGAGTAATGCAAGTGACAGCAACCTAAATGATGTCCACACCAGCGCTATGTCAGCTGGAGACGCTCTACCACCGACATCGCTTTCACCTCTCGCAGAGGTGGAGTGATTATGCAAAACGGGAGAGCTCTCTCCCATCAGTATAGAGTGTCTTCACCAGACACACTCTTGCAGCACAGATGCATTGGAGCATCTGCGCTGATGTAGTGCTCTAGTGTAGACTAGCCCTCAGAGAGCTTAGTCTCAGTCTAGGGCTTTTATAAACAAATATGCTGTTCTACCAGCCAATACTCATTTGCACAAACTGTTATACATATGCAACATTTTGCTGCCATATGTGATTGTCTGCTCTCCAGAGACGGTTGCCTATCCAGATGCTTAAAGCTAAGCATGTGTGTAAGTGTCTGAAAAATCCCCTCCAAATTTGTTTTGGCTCAACCCAAAATAAAACCTATTTTGATTTTTCATACCAAAATGAAAAACCGAAATATTTTCATTTCAGATTAAATGAAACATTTTGTTCTTGCCAAAGCATTTTTTGTTAGTTTGTTTTTCATTGTTTTATTTCGGGGACGGTTGCACCTTTTCAGTGTGTGTTTGTTTTTTTAAATAAATTTGACAAAATTTCAAAACAAAATGTTTCAAAATGAAAAGTCAAAATGTTTCATTTTGAAAATGTTGAAGTGAAATTTCAACTTTAAAAAAAATCATTTTTTCAGCAAAACTATTTGTAAATCCAACCAAATTTGTAAATACTTTCGGTCAAATTGAAATTGCATTTTTGGGAGGGAATAAACTATGTGTCAAAACAATGTTGACCTGCTCTAAAAGGTGTGGTAGTGATTTGTAACAAAATGTAATTCAAAACTGCAGTTCTATGCTGTTCATCCTGTCATATTGCAGAAAACAGTCAGGAGTTTCTGCTGTTGGTTTCAAGTTGACAGGAAGGATAAGGGATGGTTCTGGTTTCATACACTTGAAAGGCTGTGGCTCAGAATGCAGAGTGGGTTTTTGTACGGGTTGTCTATGGCTTTCTAGTACTGTGCGATCCCAGGTGGCACAATAATAGGTAGCAGCATCCTCTAGGGTTAGTTGGTCTACTCTGAGATTAGCGGTGGATGCCGAAACATCATTACTAGCAGTAAACTTTTCGCTATTGAAGCCTTCATCCTTAGAAATTGTTCCTGATCCAATATACAGAATCCTCTTTGGAGCTTCCCCAGGTCTCTGTCGATACCAGTGTATATAAGCACTGTTAAGATTAAAACCTTGGCCAGAAATTCTACACGCCATACGTGCAGTTTTAGTTACCGCTCTGGTGACAGACAATGGAGTTTGGATCAGAGTTATTTGCGTATATCCATCTAGAAAGAAAAAAGGAGAAATGATACTAGAAACCTGAAGCTGAAGGAATTTGGAACGTGTCTTGTTGCTGAAGGAATGGGTACATGTAGAAAAGAACAGAATGGAAAAATGACTTACAAGACCATGTTGAAGTCACAATAAGAACCTGCAGCAGTAACATTCTCACTGGTTGGGCTGAACTTGAAACAGAGGACTATGAAGTAACCCCTCAGACGGAGAGACAGGGAGCGAGGTGCAGCTGGGGAGAGGAAATGGGTTGTTTAAGCAGGATCCAATGATAGGTCTCCTGCCTGCAGATGTGTGGGGTAAGTTTTCAGAAGTGTCAAACTATGTATGTTGTCAGGTGGTCAGAAGCTAAAATCCCAGGAGTGGGGAGGGAGCTGAAGTCTCATCTGTTTCCATAAACAAACTGGAGGGGTAAAAATGTTCACAAATCAAGGATTGTGTCCTCCAGATAATGCAACCACATATACTAAAACAGAAGTGAACTCAAGTACAGTAAAACTTGTGTAATTGTTTGCACAGAATCCCATGTGATTTCCATCTGTCAGGTGCTTTATTTTTGGTTTGTTTTACAGGCACAGCAAGCAGGGGCATGCACAGGAATTTAAATTTTGCTTCAAATGTGCAGGTAAAAAGTCACCACAAGGTTTCATTTTAAAGCTATAATATAAGCACATACCTATGAGATATTAAATAGCGTATGTGATGGAGTGTATACCACACATTGGCAAAGAAAGAGTTAACCTGATTTGCCAGACAGCAATTAGTGCATCCAGTTGCATCTGGAGCGGGGCCAGGCCTAACTTAGAATTATGCTCAGCTGGGTAGGACTGGGTGGGTGAATTAAGGATGAATGCTGGCTGGGAGGAGTCGGCTGTTTGTAGCTACTTGTTACAGGGTTCTTGTATTGAAACCCAGAGTAGAGGGTAGGCCAGCCAGGCTGCCCATGTTCCCCTACTGGCTGCCAAAGAAGGTGCCATAAAAGCCCCCTGAGATAAGGGGTATAAGGGTAACTGAGCCCCGAGTTGGGTTGAAGATCTGTCATAAGGTCATTGGACTGTTGTTTTGTGTGATTCTCTGTAACCCTGGAAGGGGTGGGACTGAATGTGACCTGGTGGAGGGCTGAGGCACAAGGAGGAGACCACAGCAGGGCTGGAGTGGCTGTTGGCAGGAGGCACCAGAGGAAAAGACTTTGCCAGCCACATGGGGGCATTTTGGTGCTACCCTTTGACAGCATATTTAATTGTTATTAATGTTAAGACATATGTATATGTTGCACTTTGGAGAATGTGTAAATTATTGTAACACAGTGGCCACAGATCATCTGAAGAGTCACTGTACTCTTTTCAGCCTTTGTGGCTGAAAACCAATAAGAACTTCTTTCCCTACCCCACAAAGAGGTGTTGGGAAGGGAGTTCCGGAGACTGAGTATAGAACTAATCAGGCTTGGTAGTGGAGGGGAAGCTGGTAAGGGAACGTATTACTCCTGGTTAGGCTGGCTAATATACAGTGAATTACTTTAATCTCTCAGTATTGTCCTAAGCAACTCAAACCCACCTTCAAATCCTTACACCCTCTCTTATAAAACTCCAAATGCACAATAGCTTTACCCCAAGAAACTCCTTTATCTACTAATGAGTTACAAAAAAACTGTGCAGGGACTGGGTAGCAGTTTCAGTATTTAAACAGCCTGTCTTGGAAAGTGTCATCTCTGGGTCCAGTTGACCTTTAATTCTGCTTGATTGCACTTGCAGAAATTATTGACTGGTGCTACTGGGCCACCAGACTGTGGTATGAGAGTCAGGATTTTTCTTCTCTGTGTTCCTCCAAATGATCTTAAGAGCCCTTGATAGATACTGTGATAACCTGATTAGTGTATATGTGCAAAGAACAAGGATGGTAACACAAATGCTCAGCTATGTGGCATAAACCCAGTCCTGCTAGCAGCTAAAAAAGACTCTTCTTCAGCCCAGGTGAAGGGGACTGTGCTTTTTGGAGTGGGGGCTGTGCTTCTTGGCAGTAGAAGGATCTGAAGTGTATCCCTGCTGCTGCCAGGGAGTTCCAAGGCCACAGTGAGTAGCATAGTGACAACTTCAGTGGTCATGGATTTCTTACCTTTCATGAAATGATGGAATGGAACTTCCACTCGGTTCTGCCCAGGTCACTTTCCAAATGTTAATTAGCCTCATCTGTCTACACTAGACTTTTTCCCTTAAATTTCTCTCAGTTGCTACCCCTGGGTCAGTTCCACTGGTGGAAGCAAGTATGGGAACGCTGCTGTAGAAAGGTGCCTGTGGCTGCCAGCAGATTTACGTCTTTCAGGGTGTGTTGTCTCTCTAGATTTACCTTGGCTCTTACCCTGGTTTTCGTCAAAACCCTTCTCTCCTCCTCACACAAAACCCTTATGCCCAGGCTTATATGTGTTTTGAACCTGGGCTTGCTTGTCTGGCTGGGAGTGTACGTTTACAGCCTGGATTTTGCTCTAAAGTAGGACCAAAGCTGCCTACTGCAGTGGGGTTGCAGCTGAATCCCAGGTTGTGGAGCTCAGGTTTTGATAGTCCTCTAATGCCATCCCACAATTCCCTGGGGCTGTATTTTCTGGCCTTCTACCTACAGTACTACCCATTCACCTCTACTGGCTTATATACCCAGTCAGCATTTAACTGCTCATTTCATCCAGCCTGCTCCACCTCTGCTCTGCTCACCTCAGTGGAACAGCTTGAGAAGATTCTGTCCCAGCATGTCCTAGCTGGTCAAAGCATCCGGGGTCTCGTTGTTCTTTGCCATGCTCACACCAGAGAGCATGATTTTTGGGAGGTGCACCTGAAACCAGCATCTGTGCAAGAGCATCTCCAAGAGGCTGGCAGAGGAGGTGATCCAGCAGATGGCTCTCCAATGTTGGGAGCGAATCAGAACCCTTCTGGGTGCCTATCACAAGCAAAAGTCCAGCAGTGGCGCATCTATCTGCCCTTACTCCAAGGAGATTAACTGGGTGTTAACCACCACCCTGAGTATGGATCCCTCCCTTCTTACATGACAGGCTTTTTGAGCTGGGACAGTCCAAGTTCTAGACTGGTGTAGAAGGGCTGAGGGCAGAACCACAGGATACTCTGCTGGCAGAGGGAGCAGAGGAGCAGGAACAGAGCCCAGATCTGGACTAGATCCTGGAACAGACTTTGTGGCCAGCTTGGCTGGGGAATGTCCTAGGTCCACGTTCTGAGGATCTGTTTGAGCCCAGGGAACGTGCTGGAGAAGAAGCACAACAGTGGAGCCAGAGCTGCAGATGGGAAGTGGCCACTGCTGCCACCTTTGTTGTTACTATGGGGGAAAATTGCAGCATAAGTGGGAGAGATTTCTGGGTTAAAACCAATAGAACTATTGATATGGAGGATATTTATGTGCTATAGGGTGGCCTTATCTTCAGTTGTGGGTGGAAGCCATGCCAGTTCCCTGATCCTCCTTCCTCCACCCTCCCCAGCATGTGTGATCCAAGTGGGAGGGTGTGTGTGTGGTGGGGGGGGGATTGTGCAGTTATTGATTTGTTCTAGCAACTGTTGAATTGATGGTGGGAGGGAATCCGATCTGAGACTACAGACTTGGCAAGCTTACAGCCCCCTGGTCTGAGTGTCCCGACCCCTGTATCAGGCCCCAAAAATGGTAGAAAGCATATAGAACATTCTAGGAGGGACTTGATAGGAATGGCTTTCTGAAGATGATTAACCAGAAATGAAGGAGGAACTGGATATCTGACTTGTAATATAAGTATCTGCAAGATGTGGTCAATGACATGCTATGCTGTACCTATAAAAGTTAGCTTTTATTACCCTCTTTTAAATCTATACCTGCCATACTTAAAAACATCAGTTGTATGTGATAGTCTTATATCTAGCTCAGAGAAAATGAGTATCTACTTGTGCTTTCAGCTGATTAAGATTAAAAAGGCAACTATGCGTGTGGGTTTTGGTTTTTTTTCATCTGTTTGTACACTTTTGAAAGTCTGTGGCTCAGAATACAGAGTGAGGTTTTGTACAGCCTGTCTATGGCGTTCTACTCTGTGCGATCCCAGTAGGCACAGTAATAGGTAGCCATGTCATTGTAGGTTAGTTTGTCTACTCTTAGGGTACAGGTGGATTTTTCAGTTGTCTTGTCAACGCTAAATTTGTCCTTGTCAAAATTTGATTGTTCATTTTGTGCGTGTGACTTAAAGTAGAGTATCCATTCCGGAGCTTCTCCAGGTCTCTGTCGATACCAGTGTATATAAGCATCCCCAACATTGATGCCAGAAACTTTACAGTCAATTCTTACTGTTTTCATCAGATTCCTTGTGATGGATAACTGATCTTGTGTCAGTTGTACTTGTGCAGCTCCATCTATAAAGAAAGGAAGAAACAAATACCATAAGCATTAATTTGGAGGCTCTCTGGTTGTTGCTCAGTAATCTGGATATTTGTAGAAAACTTGAGTGAAAACCAACTTACACGACCAAATTGAAGCCACAATAAGAACCTGCACCAGTAACATTCTCACTGGCTTCAGTTGAGCCTGCGTCTCAGAAACAGAAGGCTGTAAGTTAGGATCTCGGATGGAGAGCCGAGTGCCTCTGGGGAGAGGAAGTGACTCAGTTAAGTAGCAGCTGAGAAGAGTTCTGTGGGTTGTAGGTATGTCAGTTCCATGTGAGGTTAATTTGACTGATAGTCATTAAGACAAAAGTGAGCCATCATGAGTTTCAGCAATAAGTCTAGTATGAAGCAGATGCTCCAGTGAACTCAGGACCGAACACACCATTGTTTCTTAAGAGGATGGACAATGAAGGGTTCATGTTGATTGGTGCAGTAAACTCCCAACTTTCTTATTTAAGCCTTTAGTCAGGAAAGCATCTGCCTTAAGCCCAGGCTTAATCTTAAGTGCTTTGCTGCCTTCCCATTGAAGACAAATCACTGCCTGTTTCTATGTTAATGATTATTCTTTTCCTAGAATAAAAGCTTTCAGCAGTATTCCCTGTGTGGTAAAGGGGACTGTGCCTGTAAGGGCTGAGATTCCCAGACACAATCTGGGTGGGGCATTGAAGTGTTTGCTGCTAGGAATAGCCAGTTGGAATCTGATACAGAGAAAAGCAGATCTTCTGCAAGCTCCTTAACTCTGAGTGATCACTGAACACTTACCTCCACCCCCTACCAGTGGTATTACAGGAGCTGTGGTCAGGGTACTTGGTTTTTCTGGCATTGAATCAGGTATATTATATGTATGGTGACCTTAACTACTTCACAATAAAGATTTTTATTAATCATGTTGCTTTTTTTTTTAAGTCTATACATGCAGTTTTATTTTCTACCCTGGTAACAGACAACTGAGCTTGTTTCAGATGTGTTTGTGCACATCCGTCTTGAAAGAGAACAAGAAAAGAAAACCAAAAATTAACATGAATCTGGAGCATGGTGAGTTCTGACTCAGTAATGTACAACTGTGTAGAAAAAGGGTAAAAAAAGAAACGTACAAGACAAAACCAAAGCCAGAATAATGACCTAAAGTAGTAACATTTTACAGGTTTTGCTTGGACCTGCATCTATTTATTTAAAAACTAACAAAAAAACCCTTTTAAAGTAAGCTAGTGAGGGGTTTCTACTGCTGATGGCAAAATCAGGCAGGTAGCTGTAGGTTCATACATTTGATGGGATATGGCTCAGTAGTCAGAGTGAGGTTTTTGTACAGGCTGTCTATGGCTTTCTAACACTGTGCCATCCCAATAGGCACAATAGTAGGTAGCTCCATCGTTAGGTGCTATTCCATTTACTGTTAGGGTAGAGATGAGCTGGTTAAGCTTCTTATCACAATTAAACTTTTTCTTATCGGAGTCTTTGTCAAAGACAGGTTGTGCGGATGAGATGTACAGAATCCGCTCTGGAGCTTCACCAGGTCTGTGTCGATACCAGTGTATAATAGCACTCCCGAAGTTCTCAATGCCAGAAGCCTCACAGTCTATACGTGCAGTTTTATCTTGTGCCCTGGTAATGGACAACTGAGCTTGTTTCAGATGTATTTGTGCACATCCATCTAGAAAGAGAACAAGAAAAGAAAACCAAAAATTAACATGAATCTGGAGCATGGTGAGTTGTGACTCAGTAATGTACAACTATGTAGAAAAGGGTAAAAAAGAAACTTACAAGACAAAAACAAAGATAGAATAATGACCTGAAGTAGTAACATTTTATAGGTTTTGCTTGGACCTGCATCTATGAGAAATGTGACTCTTGGAATGGACAGAGAAATACATTTGGGGATCGGAAGTGACTCATTTAGTTAACACGGGATGAGGTTTTGCTGGCTGCATATGCTAATTTAAGATAAGGTAGCGTTATGGCTGAAACTCATCCAAAGTTACTTTTATCAAAGAGCATTATCTGGTATGAAGCAAATTCTTCCACTATCTTTAGACCAGTGTAGATTGTATCATGGAAGTCTGGGTAATGAAGGAGTGGTCTCATAATTCTTTATATTACAGTGGTTCCAAGAAGCCTCTGTCCGGATGGTGTCCCCATTGTGTGAGGTACTATACATAGCAATACATGGAGTGACTGTCCCAAAGATCTTCAGTCTAAAAGGGTATTTGCACCAGCAGATAATTTTTGGTACTTAATGTTTAAATATACCATATCCCCTGCCCGTCCCAACCAGATTCATTATTAGCCAGCAGATTTATTGTAGGAGTCTCAGCAGGAGTGGGTCTTAAGAGGGATTTGAAGGAGAAGAGGCTAGTGGTTTAGGGATTTGTGTGTGTGTGGGGGGAGGGGGAGTGGGCATTCCACACAAGTGGCAGAAGAAAGCCCCAAGATGTTTGTGGTCAGGGATGCAAACTTTGTTGCTTGTTTGTACAGTGCCCTGTGCAGTGTGGACCAGATCTGTGACTGGGGTTCCTAGCTATGAGTGTAACTAATACAAAGATGAAGAGACAGGGAGAGTCATGTTGATGAAACAGTGAAAACTAATTTTCTTGGGGGTTATTTTGTTTACCTGTTGAACATGGGAGATGTTGCCCTGAAGGGTGCTGTTGCCAGTACAGCATTCGGAACCCTTCTGAAGATATTAAGCACTTCCCAGGATCCTGCTCTCGCTGAGTTTCCCAGATGTGAAGTAGTGAAATATCGGTTCCTGCTTCAGTATGACACTAGCTCTCTGCTCTTTAAGTAGAGTGGTGTACACTGGCTATTCTATCTGTGTGCTAATGCCCTCTACTGAGATAGGATGCATCTGCAATTGTATATTTGCAGTCAATTTTGTCCTAATTCTGAAGTTACGACTCATTTTTTCTTAAATACTTTTGTTTCCTTGTGATAAGAGCTAATCCAATCCATGATGTCTTTTCTATACTGTAGCTCCATTAGAGTTCTTGTGTCTGCATAGCATTATTCAATAAGCTATACTTCCATTTCTGCCCTTCTTTCAAGTATCATCTGCAATCACACGCTTTCCCCACGGGTTCTTCAGAACCCAACTCCATTTAACCTCATTGCTCTAGTAACCCACCTTAGACTATCAAATAACTGGGGCAGGGACTCTTATTCTGTGACGTTCCCTGAACATTCATGTTAAGATTGAAATTATACAGGATAATATCAGTTCAAGCAGAGTGTGACCTGCTGTCACACCATGTGTTTTCTGCTGAACCGGCTTCAGAGACTAAAGATAGGCTGGTCCATCAGAACAGAACTCTGTGTTTTTTATAAAGTGAACAATAAGCTCTTTGTAGGTCAGGGCTAATTAAACAGCAGAAAAGCAACCACAATAAACGTACTCCTGTTTCCATCACAGTTATATCAAAATGTAAAGTGGCCAGGCTGGTTTGCAGTGCCATTAGGTGACCTGTGGTCGGATCCAAAGCCCATTGAAGTCAATGGAAAGACACTTAGGCCTTGACCCAATGCCCACTGAGATCCACAACTGGAATCTCTAGACACTAACACGAGGCTCTGTCCCTGAGGAGGATACTATGCAGGATGAGCCCCAGTGACTGGGGAGTTATAAGGAGGTACATTATTGCACCTGCACACTGGGTCCAATGCTCCTGTTTTACTTTCACTTGCTTCCTGTTTGAGCAGATGAATGATGTCTGGATTGGGAGATTGTCATGTCAGGCAGTTATGGGGGTGAGAGCCTGGCCCCATTTCCTTCTCTAGAGCCAGATTTTTCACCCCAAGTGTTATGCTCCTCTAGACTGATGACAAATCTCCACCCAGTCAGCCCATGATAACCCATACAGACAACTACTGACTATTGGCTTCACCTAATATTCAGCAGGAAGATTTTCTTTTTAATGTAAAGACCAAGGGGCAGCTAAACACACAACTCCCATTGACTTGCAACGGGATTGGATGCCTAACTCCCCTTTGTGCCCTAGGTGACCTCCTGTTCTGCTAGACCTGACCTAGTCTTAGTGATTTACGTGGAAAATACACACTAAATCAGCAATTGCTGTTTCTATCTAGTTTCAGAAGCCAATGAAGAGTTTCTGCAGCTGGCTCTAGGCTGAGAGGAATTTTTAGGCTGTGTCTCAGAATGCAGAATGGGTTTTTGTACAGGCTGTCTACAGTTTTTTTTAACACTGTGTGATCCCAATAGGCACAATAGTAAGTAGCAATGTCACTGGAGGTTATTTTGTTTATGGTCAGTGTACACGTAGACTGGCCAATCTTCTTTTCAGCATTAAACTTTCCTTTATCTGAGACTCCGTCAAAGACCAACTGCGTTGAGATGGGCAGAATCCGCTCTGGAGCTGCACCGGGTCTCTGTCTATACCAGTGTATAGGAGTCTTGCCAAAATCCTCTGATAGAGAAACATGACAGTCAATTCGTAAGGTTTTATTTTCTTCCCTGGTTATGGACAGTTGAGGTTGGGTCAGACGCACTTGTGAGGAGCCATCTGTGGAGAAACAAAGAAAAAATATCAACATAAAACTGAAATGATGTGAAGGCTCTCCAGCTGCTGCTGTCATGTGCCAATGTATGCGGAGAGCAGTGTGAGTAGAGTGACCAGATTTACTGTGGTTTTTTTTTTATTATTATTATTATTTTTACAGGGACAGTTCTGATATTCAGGACTTTGTCTTATATAGGTGCCTATTTATATATATATTTTTAAAATTGCTGTCTTGTCACCCTAAGTGTGAGCAACACACTTACAGGAGCAAACCAGAGCCAGAACAAAAGTCTCTAACAGCAACATTCTTGCTGCTCTTGTTAGACCCCAGCCAAGGAATGTAAATGATGGTATTGAATGGAGAGAGACGTGTAGAAGGGGAGAGGAAGTGACTCATTTAGGTAACCTCCAGTTAAGTGGTACTGGCTGTAGAAGACTTATTGCCAGGTGAGATAGTTACTGCTGTTCAGTATGACAACTTTGACCTTGAGTGAGTGTCAATCCTAGCACTAGGGTCAAATAGATTCCTTGGGTGTGTTTCAGGATCAGCATTGATGATTATTACTGTTGTGTATTACTTATATTACAGCAGCAACCTGAGATACTGTGCTGGATCTGGGCCCCAGGGTGAAAACGAAGAGGCAAAGTCCTGCCTCATGCTGCTGACAGCCTAAAGAAAGGAGTGATATTCTCAAGCCTGTGGGAAAGGGAAACGTCAGAACCCCTTCATTTTTATTTTTTCTATATATTTTTTTACCATGTCATTGTTTATGCACAAAGACACTAGTTTTTGTTTTCTCCTCGCTCACCCTAAAGCTCAGTCATTGTGTGTTAGCAGATTTCTTGTACATCCTGTGGAATAGAAATCTTGCAGAAGAGAGGATAGTGCTCTGCCCATGAGACGAGGGGCCTGTTCCATGTGTATGTGACAATATGGAAGAAACCATGAACGGATTTGTTGGAGAATGAATGAATTTGAATGGGCAGGTGGAGGACAAGAGGGGGGAGGACAAGAGCTGCTGACTGTGCAGTTAAAACTGTAGTTGTATTTCTGTCATTCACTTATCTCTTGCCCAGGGAAGCTGCTGACCCTTTCCTAATGGAGAGAATGAGTCAGTGCCCTCAGATCGCATGGATACCAGTGGAAGTTGATGGTGTTCACAACATTTCTGTAGACACCGAGCATCTGGCAGAATTGAGCTGTAGTGTATTTTTCAGTCTTAAATTCTTTAGTTTTTCTCCTACTTAATTGTGATACTTGGCCATTTTACATCTCGCTACTTGTAACAGTGCTAATACATCTGTGTGCTAATGTCTTCTACTGAATTAGGATGGTCCTGTTCATGGACACTTAGTGTCCATGCTCCGAAAAAGGGACAATTTATACCTGAAGGTGTCGTATACAATTAGTTTACAAGCAACCCCTTTCTTTTTTCAATATTAGCTTTTCTTGTCTTGCAGTGAGGACTAATCCACTGCAGAGAACTCTACTTGAACTAGAGAAGAACCCCCCGCCGAGCGCCGGGCTGCGCCGCCAGAGCGCCCCCCCCCCGCAGAATGCCGTGCCGCGCTCCCCCCTCCGCCCCTTACCAGGTGCCGCCCCAAGCATGTGCTTGGGTGCCTGGTGCCTGGAGCCGGCCCTGCACCTCCACACCCTCCAGTTCATTAAAGCATATGACAATTGCTTTTAGCATTCTACACTATAGCACTACTAGTTTACATTTATACCATTATACACTAATCCAGTCTGTCATGTTTTCACCATCTCCCCTCCTTCAAATTTCTGTCCAAATACACCCTTCCCATGGGCCTTCAAAACCTAATTCCTCTTGGTGCTTTTTTGTTTTTTTTTTAAGGGGTATGTCACATCACTGCAGTCCTTGCTTTCCTTCCTTCATTATCCATCCAAGCATTAAACCACATTTCTCTAGTAACTCCTCTCAGTTTAGGATATCTGCTCTGTGGGGCAGGGTCTTTGATCATCTATTTGCTCGTAAGGTGCATTCACATGTATGGCTAGATAGAAATATCTGCTCCAGGAGAGTGTAACTTTTATATGACATCTCATCTAACAAACTGGTATTGCAAACTAAATATGAAACTGTTCTTTAGAACTGTATTTTGTGGTTTTATGAGCAGGCATTTACTGGACTAACAAGCTCGTCACAGGTTAATTAAATACCTTGAATCTTTTTTCTGTTTCTACTCTAGCAATGTTACAACTTATTTTACATTAGCAGTTTAGTTTCCAGTGCACTTGAGTAACGAACTGCATAAAGATTACTGGAATATATAGGCAGTAATAAAATGAGTTTATGGACCAGGTGATAGGCTAACTATTTCTTCATACTGTGAGTACTGTGAGTGATTTTTCATTAGATCT